CAAGCCCAGGGATGGCCAGACTCGAACCTCCGATGGACGACTTCATTCCTCACACATCGGAAGGTACAAGTGCGTTTCTCCGGTGGAGTCACCACACAGAATGAGCTGGTCTGCGGAGTCCCCCAGGGATCACCAATTTCGCCTTTACTATTCCTTCTGTACATGGCGGAGCCGATGCAAAGAGGCAACCCAGGATCGAGGTTTAGCTACGCCGACGATATTGGAATTCTGGGGTTTGGACGCACAGTTGCTGAATCTGCCAGCGCTGCACAAAGAGAGGTAGACCATCTTCTCGAGTGGGCAGGGAAAAATGCTGTTGCCTTCGAAACGCAAAAGTCTGAAGTCATCCAATTCCCAGGACGACGCCGATAAGAAGCAGTTGGGGTTCACGTAAATGGAAATCTCATCGAGCCCGCTGATCACATTCGATGGCTTGGCGTACATTTGGATCCTCGACTCAATTTCAAACACCACGTAACCACCTGGTGCGGCAAAGCGATGAAAGCTGCACAGCATATGCGCCGCTTCAACTCTACCTCTCGGGGAGCAGCCCCCGGGCCGTTAGTCGGCGCAGTAGACATGTGCATTGTCTCTCTAGCAACTTTTGGATCTGATGTCTGGTGGCCAGGGTCCAAACGCCCAACCACACGAGGAATGGTCACGTCATCTACCTTAAACCTCTGCAGCATGATTGACAAAGCTAACCTGGTGGGATTGCGGGCTGCACTGCCAGTGATGAGGACAACGCCAAACGTAGCCGTTTACAGAGAAGGAGGAATCCCGCCGGCAAAGGTCATACTTGAGGGAAACCGACTCCGACTTTCGGCAAGGCTTAAGACCCTTGATGATAGACACCCGTTGAGGATCCGCGCTTCCGTGTGCCCGAATGTCGGCACTCGAAAGTACAAAAAGACCGCCAAACTCTCTGCCAGACCAGAGATCCAAATGTCACGGTTACAGCGTGCTTATCGAGAGCTCCCGGAAGCAGAGGCTCCCGAGGCCCTGGCGCCGGTAGTCTACCCTAAAAAGTTAGGCTCAAGGCTGACGGAACGCAACGACTGCGTTGGATGGATCAATAACGTGACAGGAACGGACATCTGCGCATACTCAGATGGTTCATCGGAAGGACACGGACGCTCTGCCTGGGGTTTCGTTCTGAAAAAGGATGGGAAAGACATAGGCAGAGGAAGTGGCATCAAGCACGGGGGAGAGGTGCTGGATGCAGAGATAACAGGAGCAAGGAAGGCTCTAGAAGCCGCACTGGAGTTCTTGGATAACGGAAAGTCTAGGAAAGTAGGAGGGTCGCAGCAAATCCACGTGTTTCTAGACAGCCAGCAGGCTGTAAGCGCACTAACGACGGGCTCATCCTCAACTAGCCTTGAAGATGTACGCAAATTCCATGCGTCATCCAATAAGGCAAAAATATCAGTGAAATGGGTGCCAGGGCACGCAGGGATACAAGGGAACGAAGAGGCAGACACCATTGCCCGTGCCGCACTCCGAGAGTTACCTAGCCAGGAGACACCACCAGGATCATGTACTCTGGCATATCTTCGTGGTCTCATGAATCACCGGCGGCAAAAATTGCTGGAAGACTGGTGGATAGAGGCTTGTCCGCCTAAATACCGCCAACTCAACCTACAGGTTCGGCGACGCAAACCACCCGAACTAGCTCTCTCTAGGCACCTGCTCCGAGAATTAATTGCAGCCCGAACGGGTCACGGCAATTTTGCGGCATACAATCGCCGTTTTAATAACCTACACGCTCCTATGGAGTGCTCTTGCGGGAAGGAAACTACTCCAACCCACTTCATCCACTGTAGCCGCCACGCACAACACACGCGTAGGCTCAGAAAGTCAATGTCCCACGCTGACTTTGTCAAAAAGCTTCTCGGGCCCAAGTGCCACGAAAGCTTCAAAATATTTGCGCAGGAAACCGGCTGTTTTGATAGACGACCTGCTCACTCATCCACTGCTCTCAGCGGGGATCAGATTAACTAGTTATTGCCACAACACATGACAAGAAAGGGAACGAGGCGAGAAGTGTCGTTTCTCTGAGGAAAGATTGTAGCTAGTTGGATTTAGGGAAAAGGATTGATTTTTTGATCTAGGAGTTGGAGTAGGTGGTGTCCGCGTCGTAATTTACTTCCTACTATTTCTGTGGCAAGTCCAGCGGTTGGAATGAGTTGGGCCTGTAAGCAGTGATCCCCGCCGGCTCCACCAGTCTTGTACCTGTAGTGGACCTAGAGCTTTAGCTTAGGACTTTAATATAATAATTTAAAAAAAAAACCCCCCTTCATCAATTCGAGAAATTCGAAAATTCATTTTTTCCCTCTTTCCTCCCTTCTCGACCTCGTCGCATCTATCTCTGAATTGTGATCGAGCTCAGGCATTTTCACCATGCCTCCAGTTCGCAAAAAGCGCCCCAACGTCAAGTTGGACAACACGAGAGTCCACCCGAGGGCTCTCCAACAATTATCTGGCCTTGCCTAGTCTCCGAAATGCGAGGAGATGAGCAACGTCTCAACTAAAGGGAAGGAAAAAGCCCTCGCTGCTGTCACTGAGCCCGATACTGACATGATCGGGTCAGTTGAAATTGTTGAGGAATTTCCCCAACCATCCTCCGTCCCTCACGAGACTGGAGAATCGTCAAAATCTCCTCCGACAGCGTCAAAACCGTCGGAAAACGCTGCAGTCAAAGCAGCGCCAAAATCAACGTCGCAGCCAAAAGCTGCCACAAAAGCAGAGTGTCCCCTAGAGCTTCGACCAATTTTCGAAGCTGAACAACGACGCGCCGCCGAAACAGCGGCAAATCTGGCCCTCTGTTCCGCCGCCATCTCTGGCGTCGAAGCCACCCTTCTTCCTTTGACCAACGGGTCAAACAGACAATTTGTAGACTCGATGAGAGTCTACTTACGCGCCGCCATAGCGCAATACATGGCCACGGGCCCGGCCTCCACGCCACTCGTCCTCCCTCCTCGCCCGGCGAACCCGATCCCAAGGGCTCCCGACGTAAGGAGCACAACGATTTCCGCCGTCCCAGCGCTGCCTATAAAAAGCACCTGGGCCACGGTGGCCAGAAACGGACTGTCACAAAAAGCAGTCCCTACTGTTAAGGCTGTTCCGCGACCTGCGGCAAAAGCCCAAAATAAAGAAGCTCCGAAGGCTAAAGTCGACAAACGACTGTTCCTTCGCTTAGAGAGCGATCACCTATGGCGCCAGCTTTCGCCTTACGGCATAAGGCATCAATTATGTAGTAGGCTACTGTACATCTTGAGTGAAAAAAGCTCTATACACCGTGTCAGAACCGGATTTGCGATTCTGACAGCGGATGAAAATGAAAGGGAAGAGCTCTTAGATGCCTCACCGAAGTTGTCGGGCTTCAATGCCTAATCGAGGAAGCCTCCAACCTTGTCGCCTTTCGGATCGCGAATGTTCCAGCGACTATAAAATTAATCAACCGTATTGAGACGGTCGATGCCGGTAGGATCTCACTGGAGATTTACCGCAAAACACAACGACGTCCATGCCAGGTGCGACCGCACGGGACATGTCGTCCTGGAGCGCCATACAGAAACTACTATGCCCTTTTCAACCGGGACTCCGCCCCTCGTGCGGGCTTCCGAATTCTCGACGAGTCCGGAGCGGCTACAAAGATCCAGCCTCGTCGCCAAATTGAACAGTGCAAACGCTGTTTGGGCTTCCACGCCACTGGTGGTTGCTCCTGCGCCCCAGCGTGCTGGAATTGCGGATCAAACATGCACTCGGAAGCCGAGTGCAAGGCCCTCACAAAGTGTCGCAACTGTGGGGGACCCCACCGATCGGATTCTCGGGACTGCAAAGTCAGACCCAGAAAGTCTGGACCGGTGACCAAAGAGCAGCTCGCGTGGATCCGCCACATCGAACAAGGGGAGTTCGCGAAGGTGGCACGAGCACGAGCGACAGCAAAGAAGGCCGAAGAGGCAATCACCGCCGCTGCAAAGGACGTATCGATGGCCGAGGCTACAGGTTTCGGAGTTCTGGAATTTGAAGAAGAGGTTTGAGGACACAGCAACCTCGACGATGTCCCTTTTGGGGCATATACTAACCAATAGCAGGATACCGGCTGGATATTAAGTGCCTGCTAACTCATCTCTTGCTCTCAGCGGAGATTGAGTAAATTTGTCATTTGGAAGATGTGGCAGGAAAGGGAACGAGCGAGAAGCGCGGGATCCGGACCACATGAAAAATCTTGTAAATTTGATTTCAGTCTTTGGCTTTTAGCTTTGATTTTAGTTTTTGATTACAGTTTCTGAGTTATAATTTACCTGCTACTTTTTCTGTAGCGGGTCACGCGGTTGGAATGAGTTGGGCCTGTAAGCAGTGATTCCCGCCGGCTCCACCAGTCTTGTACCGATAGTTGACCTAGAGCTTTAGCTTAGGACTTTAATATAAAAAAAAAAATAAAAAACCCTTCATCAATAACTGCCATTAACCGTCACCTGACTTATCTCTGTACTTCATAATCCCAACACAATATAGTGAGCAGATATACAAACTCTCTCACGTCCAGAAGATAAGGATGAGCCTTACAGCCTTAAACAGCCCAGCCATAAGCAACCGCGCCTAGCCCGTAACACAGAGAAAATTCACACAAAAAATGTTCCAGTAAACAAATCTATGAGAAGAATTTTACAGTACAATTGAAGCCTAAATAACTTGAAAGCTTTCGCTCTGTATAACAAATTAGATCCTTCCCATGTCTAGAGTCTTTTGTAGTACAATTATGTTAGTGTATCGTAGTGTCTGAGAGTATTATGTCTCTAGTTTCTCGATAAGTAATGTAAATAAAAGCCTATCATTGAATAATGAATGTCGACGATAGGTATGATCATTAATCGTCAAATTTATCTCTATGTACAGCTGGGTTTTAATACTCTATGCCTAAGGGGAAATATCTGTGCTTATTTTGCAAAAGTGAGTCCATTTATTTTTCTATTCCCAATATTTATCGTCTCTAATCACGTCCATTTCGAAAAATCGAGAGTTTCAACGAGGCTCTCTTGACTCACACTGAGCTCATTCTCAGAGTCAATTATGGAAGGTCCCTGAGAACGTTGAGACACCGTCTCGGATGCCTGAGTCAAAAAGTTAACGACAGATGACCGACGTAAATTTGTCTGGTTATCTCGAGTATTTTTAGAATCTGCCACAAGACAATGTGAAGTTCCCGGGGGGGAAAGCTCCGATTGTTTTTGCCCATACTGTTCACGAATTTTCTTAATCTCTCGTAGTCTATTTCGCCAAGATGAAAAATGTTCACCTCCTGCTCGATTAGCCCAGACTAGACAAAATACCGATGCATTTAATGCCAGCAGTCTAATAAAATCTGGCAAAGTTGACAAACTCATAATCTTAGTTTCTGCAGCTGGAGAAATTTCCGGAAAACCAGGCTTACTTTTGACTTGCACTTTAAAAAATGCATCTTCCACACTCGTAGGAAGTCTCCGAGCGACAAAAGTAGCTCTAGATTCCGGGGTTATAACGATGTTAACGTAATTAAACTCTGATGGGAAGGTATTGAAATCAAAAGGCAATCCAGAATTATTGAAAATTATGTTAACAAAATCATTACCGATGTGTCTCTTTTTGTTTGAGCATTGAGGATCAGTATTTAAATTTGTCGGCATTTGTGTGGTAACATGAAAAATAATCTCGGTGACTCGGTCACGCCAACAGAATGTGTACTCTCCATCAGCGTCTGTTTGTCTATCAAGGCCTTGAGTGTTGAAATTGGCACCTCGAAGCTTCGTTAGTGTGCCCAAACCAGATAAGAATCTTATATAATCACTACTTCCGTGAATATTAGAGAGAATATCAACCTCATTTTTTTGATTCTCTCCAACATAGATAACTCCAACCTTGTGACCGTCAACTGTAAATGTACGATTAAAGTTGCTGATTGCTCGATCCATAGCTTTACAGTCTGGGAGTGGAATTGGTCGCAGATATTCTCCAGAGCTGGGAACAGAAGCAAACAATTGAAGTATTAGATGACTTGGTAGTTTGAAATTTTCATCGGCACTCAATGTATTTTTCGAATCATCATTTAGGGTTTGAGATTGATGAGAAGGAGGGCGACTAAAGTTTTCTTGGATGATATAGCTGGATGTTCCTGAAGGTTGACGCTTAGTTATCTGGGCCCAATCACCACGGGTTGCTTGCTCGATTGTCACAAGGCTATTTCCGATAATCCATCTCTTCTTCTTAATTTCGCCAAACATATCTTCTTTGAATGACGGATCTGGCCCGGATTCCTCGACATCAGCGAAAGCAACCCTTTGCATAAAGTCTATGGTAACCTGAGCTTGTTCATCAATATTTTCCTTCCCATGTGTGTCAACAGACACAAGATTTTTCGTAATCCAGCTAACTTGACCAGCACGATCTGCAAGTTTCAGGGAAAGAAACCAAAATATTATTACATGATGCGCCAGAGCGTAGACGTACTGAGGTAGATCTTCGGATGTGTTAAGATAAAAGTTACTCTCCATAAAAGAAGTATCGGGCAAAGTGCGAGAATTATCTGTGACGGCCGCAGTCTTGGAATAAGTGTTATTGCGAGCTGCTGCATCTTTATCTTTCTGGTCGCGAACGCATTGGAGGTATCGGAAACAAATGGCAAATACAATTCGAAATTCTTCTTCTCGGAAATTGACGTACAATTTGGGTAATCTAGCTAGACATGCTAAGAATTCTAGAATATGTATTGCCACGTGACTCTGAGTGATTATTTGTGACATTTTTGTTAGAACTGTTACTATTACTTTCCTTGTTGATCTGGGAAGTTCGTGGCAGCAGATTGATAATGCGTGCATGCAGCATTTAGATGTTCTCTCTCCAACCCCTTGTAAGAAAGTTCTAACAATTTCGTCTCCATCGTTTTTGGAAAAATGTCGGTGATAGCTCATAACAACATTCAACATCTGATAGAAACATATCATGACATCAGACTTGCGAAGCCCTAAAAGGGTAGGTGGCTCCTGAATGCTATTATTTTTGATATGTTCACAGAGTAGCTCTCTCAGACTTCTTATCTGTGGGATTGCCGCCTTGAATAGGGCTTGATTTGTCAGCTGAGAGGGTAGGTGAACAATTATATAGCTGTATATTTCCCAATCGCAGCTACTCTTTAAAACATTAATAATGGTCTTGAGATATAAGGCAATATCTAGAGCCATTATTGGTCCCTTATTCATATCCTCTAGTTCATTGTCTAGAGCCGATGCGAGTACTGAGCTAGATTTTCCGAATGCGTGTTGAGGTAAAGGTCTTACTTCCGGTTCTATCCAAACATACTGGGTAATTTGTGGTTGGTGTCCAGATTTTAAGGATGTTTGTGTCGTCTGCTTAAAATCTTGTACTGGTTGGTAACTTGTAATAGTTTGGCCCAAAATTAAGTCATCTGCTTGTGACAAGCGTTTTTGTTGGGTGGATACTAAAATTTTCTTTCTACTCAAAGAGCCTGAAGTTCGGTTTAGTACGGCGGCAAGGCCTTCAGACTCTGTGTGTGATATTAAGAATATTCTTTTAGCCCAGTCAGCTCTCAGCCTGAAAAGCATTTTTAACGCTGATATTCTGGCATCTATCTCGTTACTATCGCCCTCTACTACCCATAATAATTCATTAAATATTCTATTAGACTTTATTTTCGATTTGTCCATGCTAAGCATGAAAATATCAACCAGTGAGTTAGCGATAAGACCCGATGGTGTGTGAAGACTATTTGGTTGTAGATTAGTAGATTTAGGAATTTCATACTTTAACGGTGTGGGTTCTGATTTTGAGCTAATCTGCTCGCTGACGATTCCCTCGCGAAACTTGCTGATTATTAGATCAAATATCTCAATGTGGCAAGTTGCATCAGCAACCGTTACTGAAAATACGAGAACTTCTTGTAGAATTGAAATATCTTTTTCGTATGCAATATCTTGCAATATTAACTCCACAAAGGCTTGGGTTATTTCCCTATCGTTAAATCCATTCACATCCTCTACAACTTCATAAACACTAGTGACAGCCTTTAAGGTGTGTAGTCGAATCTTAGAAGGTTTATTTCGACTATAAAAAGATTTAAAGATAGTAAACGTGTTTTCTTTCCAATCTGGGTCTGATGGATGACAATATCGATACTCCGTGTACGTATCAATAACTAGCTTAGCACATGCTTCAGGTAAATATCGATGCATTGTAACTAAAAATTTAACACAAGCTATTCTTTGAAAAAATTCATGGTCGGAATTATGTGTAAGAAGATTTTGGATCCGAGATACTAGTTTCCGAAGATTTTCCGCGATGTGGACGGGTGTAATCTCTGCTTTACTTTCACCTTCGTTTAGTTTATCCGTTTGGCCAGATTTTCCTGAGAATTCATCGGTATCATTCTCCAATACCACGTTTGTACATTTGATGATTACCTCAAACATCAGAGTCCAATCCTCTGCACCTACATTCTCCAATAACTCTTGACCATCATTTCCAAGTATAGATAGAATAAGACGTAGAACATCATTTTTCACGGTGATCTGATCCAGAATCGTGACTTTAGAAAGGGAGTTTACCAGAACTGTAAACGGTACTAAAGGGTATCCATTCTCACCATTCTTGAGAAAAAGTTTTTCTAGAACTGACAATGCACCACGGACCTCCCGGTACTTAAGTTTGCTTCCTTGGTAGGGATCACGAAGTATTTCGAATGCTATCGCTACAGTTTTCTCTCCGTTGTGGGAGATGCAGATATTGCTGATTGATTTCCACGCATCCTGTTGCATTTCAATGACAAGGCAATGCGTAGAACACAGAACTTTCACGCAATCGGCAAGCTTGCTAGCAGGTATGTCTCCGTAGGTCACAATAGCATTAATAACATGGATACATAAGCGCAATTCATCCGATGATGATGTACAAACGCATATGTTTAGAACGACATCAATTAAGTCGCTGATTGAATCTTCGCTTGATATATTAAAGTTGAACTTGATGACGTCTACTATAAAAACAAGTAGTAACATGAAATCTGGTTCCCCATTGAGCGATGATACCTCTCTTCTTTGTTTCCTGCGAGTCCAGGTAAAATTCCAAGTTCGGCGTAGCCACAAAGTGAGTAGAGGGAAAATCTCATAGTGAAAACCGGCCAGATCTCGTCCATGTTTCGCTAATTCTATCACGGCACTAACTTGTAAATGAAAATCTTCTGGCTCTGCTGGGGCTGTAAACGTTCTAAAATAGGCCAAACGCTCAGGACCAGTCAATGCTATATTTTCAACGCATGCAGTCAAGAGTTTGTAGCCAGCGGCACGCGTATAATTGGGGTTTGAAGGATTAATTAGATCCTTAGCTCTATTAAAAATTCGAGAGACCTTTACACAGTGTTAGTTGATTTATTGTCATGTTGATGTGTACATCACATACTCGATTTCCAGGATACTGTTGTACAGCAGTACATAGATAAGTTGCAGCTGTGGTTCTAGCAGATAAAGAGTTTTCATTTCCGAGTTGCTCGATTAGAGATTCAAAATTATAAAGCTCTTTGTGGATCTTATGAAAAGGGCTACTAGACTTTTGAGTTTGTTGACTGCCTGATGACTGTAGTTGTAAATTGGTAGTTTTCGTTGCTCTGATACCAGTCAAGGACTTGAACACATTTACAAAGCTACTCATGGGCTTTGATTCCGGCACAGCATCCTTAACAGGTTGAGACATGGAATATCGTGTTTAGTCAATTTTTCAAAATTACTGTATCTTGCATTTGCAACATATCAGCGATGTGTTTCGAACTCAGGAGTTCCTACGGCTTGGGTAAAAAATAATTAATTCCGCATCTGCTCTTGAAAATATAGGTATTCCTAGATTTTCGTAGGGATCTTTTGTGACTTACGGTGAATCAGCACATTCGTGCGTTTGTGCTGAGAGACCCGTCTCGCTCAGTCCATATTTCATCTCAAGTTTACCGGCTTTGAATCTGTGCTTGATGATGATAATCGCAGATTTTTGAATTCAAAATTTACTGTCTTTTGATGAAGAGCATGGTTTTTAGGGTTTCTGATTTCACATGGCAGTGGGCCAGGGCTTGGAGTATGCAATTCATATTGATCGCGAACATTTGATCGGCTGCTTATCCTTGTCAAAATGTGGCAAAGTGTCACACACGGACCACTCGGCATGTAGTATTTTCAGCCTTGTGTTAGATAGTAAATTTCATAAACGATAAATGTTCGTCAGCTACACACAAGCCTAAAGCTGTTATCTCCAACGTTATGACTTCAAACATACAGGTGATTGTGCAGCAGCTGCAAGCAACTCTTGATCCAAAAGAGCATAAACAAGGTTTGCCGCCTCATAATCAGCCTACCCGTAGCTAATTCTATATTCGCAGCTGAGGCAGCTCTTAAAGCTGAAGAGACCAAGCCTGGATTTTCACCCTTGCTTCTAAATATCATTGCTTCAGAAACTCTCCCATTAGGCACTCGGTTATCAGCTGCATTATGCTTTAAAAACTTTATAAAGTACAAATGGGTGGTGGGTAGAGAGATAGGGTAAGGATTTTGTTTGGGCTGATTCATTGTTCAGGATGATGTAGGAGATCATAGGCTTACCGAAGACGAGGTTAAAACTATCAAGAAAGAATTAATTGGTCTGATGGTTACAGTACCTGGAAGTTTACGAGCTCAACTTGGAGAAGCCATCAGCTTAATCGCAGATTCTGATTTTTGGACGCGGTGGGATAATCTGGTCGATGTAGGCTTTACGCATCTAAACTACCGAAAGAATACTAATCTGGAAGGATCTTGTATCGCGTCTAACCCAAGACAACCCACAAATTAACGTTGGCGTTCTGGAAGTTGCCCATTCAATTTTCAAGCGTTGGAGACCTCTCTTTGCGTCTGATGGCCTCTATACTGAAATAAACCACGTCCTGGAAAAGTTTGGTCAACCCTTCGTTCAGCTACTTGCGGTAAAGATCCTCGAAGCAGATCAATCGAAGCCGCTGACATTAAATCCATAGAGTACCGATCAACAAATCGCTGCAAACAAAGAAAACAAAGATATCCTGGAACAGCATATGAAAGTTATGAATCTCCTAGTAAAGCTATTTTATGATCTTTCGTGCCAGGATCTTCCTCCGATATTTGAAGATAACCTCGCCGATATCACGTCTTTACTACACAAGTATCTTACATATGAAAATTCTCTTCTCAAAAAAGATGACGACCTCGAGGCGGGTCCCCTTGAATACGTCAAAGCTGGAACATGTGAGGTTATGACTTTGTACATGCAAAAATATGAGGATGCCTTTGGAACTTTATGTCAACCTTTTATCACCAGCATGTGGGCTCTTTTGACAACGACAGGTTCTGAAATAAAGTTTGATATCCTTGTTAGCAAGGCATTGCAATTTTTAACTGCAGTCGCAAGTCTGGACGCGCACGCGAGAAATTTTAATAATGAGGAGGTGCTCAGACAGGTGGTAGAAAAGGTTATCATACCCAATGTTAGTTTAAGAGACTCCGATATTGAGCAATTTGAGGATGAACCCATCGAATATATCCGAAGAGACTTTGAAGGCTCTGATGCCGACACAAGACGAAGAGCCGCAACTGATTTTCTTCAGAAATTACTAGAAAAGTTTTTGGCACCAGTTACAAGTACTGTTGGGAAATATATTTCTCATTATCTTGATTTATATAGAGGTAGCTCTGGTGCTGAGTGGAAGATCAAAGATACGGCTCTCTATCTCTTCACTACTATTGCTTCGACTAGCGCTACCACAGCCAGCCATGGTGTTAAAACAACAAATAGTCTAGTCGACATCGTAGATTTTTTCCAAAGTAATATCGCAAATGATCTCGTAACCGAAACAGGAGTAGAGCCAATATTGAAGGTTGATGCTATCAAATTTCTCTACACTTTTAGAAGTCAGCTCACCAAGGCACAATGGGCTGCAGCGCTTCCTCCTCTGGTCAAAAATTTGAAATCTTCCAACTATGTTGTTTACACATACACCTCTATAGCAGTCGAGCGTGTACTATCATTGACTAGTAGCGATGGCAAGTATTTATTCGGAGAAGAAGAGATCACACCATTTTCCAAAGATCTATTGGAGCATCTATTTCAACTCATACAGAAAGATCTTTCACCGGAAAAGGTTCAGGAAAATGAGTTCCTCATGCGATGCGTGATGAGGGTAATGATAGTAATCAAAACTGGCATAACACCTATTGTGGACAACGTCCTATCGCATTTGAAAAAAATTACTGAAATTATAAGTGTAAATCCAAGTAATCCAAAATTTTATTACTATCACTTCGAAGCACTAGGCTCAGTGATTAAAAATGCCTCACATTTACAAACAGGAAAATTAGAGGAAGAGCTATACGCACCATTCGCAGCGATATTGCACAATGATGTACAAGGTACGAGTACACCCTGTGAACAATTTCCTTTTTTTAACGATAAAATACAGAATTCACGCCTTACGTATTTCAATTGTTTTCGGCTTTAATCGAGTATCATTGGGATGGTCCATTACCGGACTACTACAAGTCATTAGTCACTCCGATTCTATCACCATCTCTATGGGAATCTAAAGGAAATGTCCCAGCCCTAGTTCGATTGCTCTCTACCCTTATACCAAAATGCATTTCGGATATTGTGGCTAATAATCAAGTTGAACCTATTCTTGGGATCTTTCAAAGTCTCATCAGGAAGGCTAAGACTGAATTACTCGCTTACGATATTCTTGAAGCAATAATCACATCTTGTGAAGTGTGAGTTGAAATTTATAATTGGACTTAACTGTACTAACTTAGTTAGGTCCGTAATAGAAAATTACTTTCCCTCAATTTTAACATTACTTTTTGCCCGAATGAATTCTCAACCACCTCCAGAGAAGTTTAAGCAAAGATTTGTTCGATTTTACCATTTAGTATCTTCGCGTGACCATTTTGGTTTGGGAGCTGACTTCTTTATCAAACACGCTGAATCGCTTCAGACTGGCGTCTTCGCTGGAGTTTACCTCACTATCATTCTACCCACAACTCAGCAGCTAGTGCGGCCGATAGACCGTAAACTTGCGGTTATCTCTCTGACAAAAACTTTAACAGACTCTGAATCCTTCGCAGTTAAGTATGCAAAGGCAGGATGGGGTAAGACATGCGATGCTCTATTGGGATTATTAGAAAGTCCACCTCTTCCGACAGTTAGTACTGATGAGGTAGTTGAAAATGATGTCGAAGATTTGAGTTTTGGCATTGGATTCACCCCAATTAATACATGCAAGGAGTTGGCGAAAGACAGATGGCCCGAAGTAGTGAACGTTAAGTCCTGGGTCGGCTCGTATGTGAAGGAGGCAGATAGTCGACACAATGGGGCCATTGGGAGATTCGCCGACCAACGTCTCTCACAGGATGCAAAAATTGTTCTAGTATCCTATATGCAGTAAAGAGATATGGTAAAGAATCACATTTTCTCTTGAGATAAATGGGCTAGAAGTTAAGCGATAGGCGTTACACCATGGATTAACCAAAATTAACGCTTCTTGGCTAGGAAGGAAAACGACAAAATGAGTCGTAAATTAGCCTCTTTCGGAATTTTATTGTGCTGTAAGGCATCGCGATATTATCTTGTCATCATAGAATCCCGTCGAAACGAAAAAAATTTAGGTGGCATTTTTTAAGATGACAACTTTGGCTATAAGTTGAATTTGTATAAATTAAATGAATTTATAATACAGCTTCTTAAATCCCTAAAAATCACTCTGATTTGATATACAACCACACCTATTTGAAGTAGTTTCCATATCAATGTAAACAATTGATTTAATTCGTGGAGTCATGAAACTATCTTGCTCTTTGTTTTAGCTAGATTCTTGGATATTTTCGAAGAATGAATATAGATCGCTAAGCAAATGCCTACAAGACAATCCCGCCTACAATTTCTACGTGAGGTAGCGTGGAGCAAAATTTGTAGATTTTCATATTCCAAAGAATAATCCATGGATTTCATGTTGTCCTACAAGCTCTAATTGGGTCCGGGGTCTACTTTCAACACTTGTCAGTGGTGTCCCCTACGAACCTCCAGCTCTCACTGTAGAGCCTGCAGAGCCGAGATTGAGTAACACCGTCCTCACTTCGATGAGGCTTCCCAATCGCTTTCGCCGTCTGTATCATCTTCATCTCTCAACACATTCCCCTATCAACATTATCATGAAGCTTACCACGATCAGATCAAATGGTAGGGTCGGAGTCCTTCTCATCACCCACCCTTGATCACGGAGAAAAAGCCATCCGATAAGTTTCCGGAGCGTACCCAGCACCCGACACGGCGATGGTGGATTGGATCAAGTCGGCCTCGATTTTTACATAGAAGGGAGGTGTAGATGAATTTGCGCACCTCATCTGGTCCCGGTGTCTAGGTCTCGCTTGGCTGGGGATGCAGGTTTTTTGAGCTTATCTCCCGCGCACGCAATTTCCATCTCTTCCCTTTTCTTTCCTTTATTTTTCTTTTCTTTTTCTTGGGGGGGCGTGACGGCTAGTGAGCCGATAAAATCCCTGTAGCTTGTGCTATTCAGCACAGACATATTCATAATGTCAGCGCTAAGTTGCGCTCGTATTGAAAGTCGGGAACTGCCCGTGTTTGTTACGCTATTAGAATCTAGCGCACACCTTAATAATTGGGGCACGACTGGAGGACAGCTACTAGTGTTTGGAATATTGGAATCATGTATATATAGGGCGTTATATGTAGCATTACTCCTATTCTTCAGTTAATAAATAAACTTACCTTTCGACATACAAACGCCCAAGCTTTATATACCGGAACCGTTACAGGGGGGATAGAAGGTTCCGTGGAAAACATGGCCGAATTCCAAGGGTAAATACTGAGCTGAATAGCTATTCAGCACGGGAAATATATCAATGGTTTCTAAACTGTAAGAAGAGGCAAAAAGCACCGTACAAGGCGTGGCCTAGGTTAGAGAGGAGTCTAATATGCTAGACAGTCAAAGACTCAAGTCGTACAATTAACATACATTTCTGTCTCTCTCTCTATTTGGGTCGCCGTATACTGTACAGAGACTTGCAATAAATACTTGCCAACGATTGAAATATTAAAAGTGAATAAGGATGGAACTGACGCTGTATCTGTGTAATCTACATGAGAAAATTGAGCGAGCTAACCAGATTACGTATTACCTTGACAGTTGGCAATGTTGGCTTTGACTATTCTAGATTCATCATGTACAGCTTGGTAAACCTTTTATTCGGGATGGGCGTGAGAGGGATCAGGACAAGTCCTCAAGATTACACGGAGGGTGGGTACAGTCTCGACGAGCGTGAAATTCCGAATTTTGGCAAGAAGTCTTTACAAATCGAGCTTTGTGCGTGCCAAGGCTTCGGTTGCGCTGGCAAAGATGAATTCTTTACCCTCCAGTGGTGCCGATGTAATCGCTCAGTATGCTCTGTATATCTGGGATAGCCAAGAATAATCGCATCCGAATCGGAGTCGAAAGCAACCTCAAGCACATCTCCATTTGACGACTTCTCGATAATGCCTCTCTTATCATTCTCATCGGAGTCCTCAACAACCAATAAAGAAGTTGCTCCAATTGCATACAGGAGCTTGCTCCGTTAATTTCCAGCCATCTCTCACTATATATTTACGACGCTATTTATACCCGCAAAGAGGAAATCAAGTCGAAAAATACAAAGCCTGGGTCTTGGCTTATGGGGGGCTCTAGCTCTAATGGGACAAACAACTTGATGGAGAACAGGCGGCTGAGATGTGGAGCGAGAGGAGGAACAGGTCTCCGAAGAGCATGCTGAGACTGATATTTTCGAGGGGTTTTCAACTTTGGACTTCTATGTGGACGCCAAAACCAAGATTTCGGCTAATTAGCCAGGAGGTCTTCTTTTGTCGATGAGCCAACGGCACTCTCCAGCGACCTGGATGGTACAAAAGAAGTTAGGACAAGCTACCAGCCAGCAATCACGCTCTATCAAGACTTTTCTGATGTCTCAGCACGACCTTCGAGAAGGAGTTGGAAGGAGGCTAGAAAGGTAGAGTGTGAATTCTCCGAGGTATACACAAGTCTACAGCGCGCAGCTGGCCGGCCTCTTCGAACACTTCGGAAGGATCATTTTGTCTTCGGATCTCGTCCCAATGTTGGTATTAGAAAAGTCTCAAGGAGTTTGATAGGGCGATATTTCTACAGGGTACGAAATGAGATAGTGGAATAGAGATCAAACGACAATATATGAGGCGAAGCTTCACTGTGAGAAGTAGAAGAGCCACAGGAAGTAATGCGGTGCAATGGTCTTCCAAAGAAGAGATGAGGTGTAGAAATAAACGTGTATTTATTTTCAGAAGACGTTATGTGAGGTCTGAATATCCTAATGCTAAGCTTTTTTATATACCTAATTCCATCCAACTACCTATCATACTTTCCATAATATCATGATTTCCATGATGTCATACTTCCTGTAATAGCATACTCTCCCCAACTCCAGGATGGCATCTGCGATCTGTTAAATGACGTCAGGATGTTACTTGACTCTAATATGACGTCCGAAGACAGTGCATCTTCATCTCTACTGTCAATAACTCACCATGATTGTTCAATCTGTGAAAGCTGTGCTACGTTCAGTTGAACAAATATAACCTCAAACAATAGCTAGGATTTTATCATCCTACGCTCGAAGATTATAGTGCACATGAAGGTCGTCCGTGCAACGAATCTCATGCTATGCCGTTGGTACTAAATCAAGAAAAGATTTTATAAAACAAAATAAAAAATAAAAGGAGAAGATTGTTTACATCAGATCGTGATTTCGTTCGAATCAGACTGTTCGTTGCGCCCTTTCGAAGAAATCTGTGACACACACCCAATTATTGAATGCATCAACTCCCTCCGCCGAAGCAAGTGCCCAGGATACGCTGGGATTAGAGTTCTGTGCCCTGTGGAGCTGAGCTTGGTATTGCCCGAGGTGGCAATAGAAAAAGTGATTAGGGGACATCTCTTCTCCGCACGTGCAGGTTAGAATGGCGTTTTCATGCTGAAACCGTCGGTGGTAGTCCGCGAAGTCGCCATGATCGGACCGTGAGGCTAGTAGATATCCTAGTGCGCGTCGCCCCATATATAAAGTACTGTTTGATTTTGATTGAATTTAACGTCGTGCCTATGCACAGCTCGTGACTATTGTCACGTACTGGACGGCCCAGTCCCTACAGAACTACCCGACGCTCTACAACACCTAGAAATCATAAAACAGTCCGACCAGCTGTCCGCCCTCATCGTCACACAACCATTAGAATTTTTCGCAATCCAAAGTGACTATATTGCATTCCATTTACGACATCTTACTGTCACTTACATTTCTCAATCACCTATGCCGCCCCAGTCCTCCGCAGAGGCTGGCTCCTGGCCACCTCTCCCCACCCAACACGCGACGCGCCAGGACGTCGGAATGGATCTCAACGATCCACAATACACACTACCGCCTACACCACACAACACCACACCAGACTCAGTCTGCTGCGCGAGTCAACAGCACTCTCCAAACCGGAGCCCAAACCCCACGGCCGTCAACATGACCAACTTTCTCGCCGAACAAGCGAGGGCTTTCCAGGAACGTTTTGCGGAAGCAGAGCGCATCGTCAGCGGGTACTGCAACCTGCTCGAATCGACAACAGACGAAGAGTTTCGACAAGCCATCGAACTCACCGGTTTGGCTCTTCAAAGCCGGATCACAGAAATTCTGCGGGGCAATTCAGCCACCCCCAAAGCCACAGCACCAGCTCAAGCTGCAAGTGGCCACGTCATCAAACCTCGCCTCGAGACAGCTAAAGAGTCGAGGTAGAAGACTATTGCGAGCGTCGTGCGTCCTGTACAGGTCCTCGCCAGGGAAAACACGAGATTAGGAGCAGCCACACCACCCGCTGCTTCTGCGACACAATCCCTACTCATGGGACAGAACAAACCACCAACCAGACTCCCGAGAGATCCTGGACAGAGGTGGTGCGTAAAAAGGCTAAGCCAGCAACCACAGCAACCACAGCTGCCACAAAAACAACCACTGGCCACACGCCCACATCAAAACCCAAGGCGTCAGCAGTGATGCAGGAAAAAGCTGACGAGCGCGTATTCTTACGGCTCAAATCCGATCACCCGTGGAGACGCATGTCTCCACATTTCATAAAAATAAGCCTGGCTAGTAAACTACGACTGGCTAACTCATCGATCAGACAAGTCACAGTCGTGAATTCTGGATTTGCAATACAAGCTGACGGGGAAGGAGCAAGAAGCGCGCTACTGACAGGAGCGAATACCCTAGACAGCTCTGAAATGAAGTTGGAAGCCGCGTCGCATTGGATATCAGTGCTTGCACCCAATATTCCAGATAGGCTATATACCCTCGAGGGACCAGTGCCAGTCACGCCAGAAAT